ATAGGCTGCTTCCTGCGTTGTGTGAACCCAGCCCTTATCTCAACTCTTCTTCTTCTTTCTTCTTTTTTCGATTTATATCCTGCCTTCTTCCTACAACGGGCTCAAGGCAGCTTACATCGTTCCCCTCCTCCATCGTATCCCCACAACAGCAACCCTGTGAGGCGGGCTGGGCTGAGAGCCCGTGACTGGCCCAGAGTCACCCAGCGGGCTCCATGGCCGAGCGGGGACTCGAACCCGGGTCGCCTGAGTCCCAGTCCCAGGCTCTTGACCACTGCGCCACCCTGGCTCTCTTGCTGTTTAAAACTTTTATTCTGGGGGTAGAGTTGCAATTAAGCTTGTTTCCACTGTAGCCTATCCATCCATATACACTAAGCAGGGCATGTTGTATGCAACTTATTTGCAAAACAAAACTCAAAACAAGCTACAGGTGGCGCTCTTGGCTGTTCTCGCAGGTAGTCAGCTCAATAGCCCTTCTCAAGAAAGGGGCCTGAACAGGGGAGGGCTAATTACGTATGGGGGGAAGGGGGGCTAGAGGGGATTTCTAACCTTAGAGCTTTAGCAGGCTCCGGGCTGCACGATGTTTCCAGGAATGTGAAGGTGAGTGTGCTCAGAGACACGCTCCCAGTCTTTGTGGTGGCCATGCGAAGGTCTGAAGCCAGCCCTGTAAGTTTTGGGGCATTTGGACTAGGTTTGCATGCGTGTTCTCTTCTGCACGCTTTTAGTCTTTACATATTCAGACTAAAGGCTACAATCTGAGCCTGAGACAAGCCCATGTCCTTTCACAGTAAAACACACGTGCGCACCCATTTCACATCATAATGGTGTTCGGGTTCAATTTTTTTTTTTTTTTTTGCCCCTTCTTCCTTAATGCCAATGCTGACCTTTTTATTCAAACGTCATTTTAACTGTTAATAGTATTTTTTTATTTTATTCTTTGGCCAGGGCGACTTATTTTATACTGATAATTTATCTTATACTGTTAATTTATATTATTTTAATTGAAGTTATTTATGTTGTGAGCCGCCCCGAGGCTTCGGCGAATGGGGCGGCATAGAAATTTTCTAAATAAATAAATAAATAAACTTGCCCCATTTTATTCTAAAGTCCAGGGGTGCTTTTTAGGTGCTTTTGATACGGGTTGGGACAGAAGTGGAAGGACACGTCTGCTTTCTCTTCATTTCTCTTGCACCACGTTCCGTCATCTCTGATACCTGAACTATCCTCATCTTGTGGTGGGCTGTCAAAACAGGACAGACGGATAAAAGGGAGAAATCCACTCCTTTTCACCGTTGCCCTGGCAGAATGGGCTGCGATGTGAAAGGAAATGGGAGAGAGGAGCTGACAGTTTAATTGGGCTTCCGTGGCAGCGCTCCTCAGAGTGCAGGGGCGGATCTGCTCACCCAGGCACCCGTCAAGCGAGTGGGCCTGAATGGAGGAGCCAGCGCTTTCCGCATGACTGTGGCTGATGGTGGTCGTGCTGCCCGTTCCGGGTTGCAGGCGAGAGCGATGCTGATGGAACAAGGGGAGGAGGAGATGCACAGCTCAGGCCTGTGCATGTTTCTCTGGAGACAGGTACCACTGAGGCGGCTGGCACTTACGTGCAGGCACAGAACTGTAGCTCAGCAGCGTGCTCCTAGGCCCTTCAGTTCAGTTTCCATGAGCTGGACTGAAGCTCAGTCTGGACAGAATTGCACTCCAGGCCTACAATCCTAGACACAATGGGTTCTACGCTCCACCAGACACAGGGTTAACTTCTGGGTAAACAAGCCTGCAATTGTGTTGAATATCAAGTAGAGGGAAGGCGAGGAAACAAGCAAGGCAGTGGGGAACTAGATCAAGCTTGCACTGGGTCGATTGTGCTGATGGGAGGCAACCTCCCACTGCCCTCTAATAGGGCTGCCCCTCCTGTCCCCTGAAAATGCCACACCGAGAGTGAGGAGCGCACTAGAGGGAACGGGTGACCTACCGTGTGCATGGGAGGGGGATCCCCTCAAAGTGGGGGGAAGATCCCTTCTTCATGAGGGAGGTCAGTTTTATTTTAAATATTCAACTAGTGAATTATTTAGCATGGTTTTTCGCAATCAGCAGTCCAGATGAAAGCATGGTCTGCAAGAAGAATTCTATATAGGATCATATTGTCATAGTGAGAATTCTGGCCCTAAAACTCTTCACGTACCACTCCTAAGTACCACTTCTTGATGGCCCCCTCACCTATTAACATCTGCTAAGGACCTGCTCAGAACTCCTTCTTCTGGAAATGATCAAACTAATAAAGTTGCTTAATTTCATAATTACACAGACTGGAATATAAATTTGCCTAGCTAGCCATTAATGGGTACTATTCAGTGTTAATGCTACACAGAGCAGATGTACTGAAATGAATGTGACTTTATGTGCTCCTAAGTAACTTAGGTTCCATTCATTTCAATGGGTCTGGACTACGTAGGAATAAGACTCGATTCCTCTCAGTGCTTGATTCCCCAGCTAAGCATCACAAGCCAGTTTAGAACCTACAGGAGGCAGCGTGTCCTCTGAAGATGCTCCTAATTATTAAGCCAATTTCAAATCAAGGTGTGTGTGTGGGGTTGTTCACTAGTTCAAAAAGGAGTTGGTAGGATCAGACTGTGGTCTGAAGCTCAGCAATGCCCTTCTGCAAGAGATATAGTGGCATTTTTCCTTGCTGTGCTTTTGCAATTCTCAAGGCAGGAGGTTTATCAAGGAAATTGTCACCAGAACAGATAACACTTTTAGCTGGCTGTTTTCAATGGTTTTTTTTAGCCGTTGGGCAGTGCCAGCCAATATTGGAGTCCCCAACCCTGCAAACATGGAGGATTACGGGTATCCAATGAGCACATGGAGCACGGAAGCTTCTGAGTAAACATGCACACAGTTGTGGTGAATATCAGGTAGAGAGAAAGCAAGAAATCAAGGCAAGGACTGGGGGACGTACACACCGTTCCATTTTGGCTTTGAATACTGCTACTGATTTTTTTTCTTGTAGTACTACCAGGACTTTAAGTTATATTATGATCAGTTTAATTGGCAGATTGGGCAGTCGAAGCTTTAGTGCTTTAATTGGAGCAAGCCCATTTTAACTGGCAGGGGGGGAAAGATAAGCCATAAGTGCTGTAAGATAAAGGCCCATGTATCTGTTCTTTGATGCAATTTGATTATCAGTCTCTACTATATTTTGGATCTCACCAGGCCAGTATTTTATTGGCTATATAATAGCTCTTTCCAGGGAGTTTGGTGTGTTAGTCTGTTGGAGCAAAACCAAATTTTGTGATATCTGGAAAACTATCAAACAGCCCATGAAAGCTTACGCTATAATAAATTAGTTAATTCTTCAAAGGGTTGCAAGACTCCTTTATTTTCTACTTATTTTCCATATTCTGCTTAGGGAGAATAGTTTGTACATCAGCACAACAATGTCTATTGCTTAGCTATTCCAAAAATATATTATTGTTGGAAAAGAATGACTGCCCAAATGTCCTTTATCTAGTAGTTAATGACATGTCTACTGGAATTTGGGGAAACTGGAATAGCTGCCTGATGTTTCTAATGAATTACAATATTAGAGCAATGACATCTCACTTATTTCCCTTCCCCATGTCCTGCTGTTTTCCCATATTTTTCTGAGAAATGTGTAGTACAGCTCAGAGGCTCTCACGAGAATTTAAATGCCTATGCTATCTGGTTTCTGGGCCCATTAAAAAAACAAGAACGGCAACAAAGCATTTCGAAGCAGGAACAGCAACCTTTGGAAAGCACAAGCCACTGTGACACAATCTTACATCTCTGCCAGAAATATATATGTATGTCTATTTATCACTATTTGTATATCACTATTTATCACTATTTGTAAATATTTAGACGTCTCCTACATAAATAAAAAAATAAAAAAATCTATGCAGCCACCATGTTCCCACCTCTAGGAACGGCACATACTTGTTAAATTAGACGGGTACGAGGCTCTTCCCACAACTGTGCACATCAGATGGATTCACATGCAAGCAATGATGCAAAATAGCTTGGCTTCTTTCCAGACCAATCCAAGTTTAAGAAGGCAAAGCCAAACAAGAGCCCTGCTCTCAAGCATTCCATTCACACAACTGCTGGTAGGAAGCCCACATGGAAACCACGTGTGCAGTGCATAGTCTTGATCATCTTCCAGGCAACTGGGAGGACTAGACATACTGCCTCCGATCTGATGGGAGCGTGCAGCCACTGTCAGATGTTCTGCATGAGGCATTTCCCACGTATTCAGTGTTCCTGCCTCATGATGATTTCAAGGTTCCTTAGACAACACTGAGACCTTCCAGTTTTGCTGCTGTATCAAAAGAGCACTTTTTGGGAAGTTTTTTTAGAGCAGGGATCATGCCATAAAGGGTGAAAATAATCCCCACACCTGAATCTTCCAGTATACCAGTTTTCCCCAGGACAGTGCCTTCCAGATGTTTTGTATCACTCCCATTCCAGCAGCCCAGACAATGAGGAGGGATGTAGCCAGAAACTTCTGGAGGACACCAGGAGATGAACGTTTCTTTATACTAAAAGATCACCTGTGCACAGAACACTAGCAATGTTTGTTTGGGTTCCAGTCTGGCCTTCTCTTTGACGTGCTAGTTTTCTCTTGCTGCTGTAGGGCGGAATATTGTGCCACCTGAGTTTCTACATGTGGCTGGAAGGGGGACAGCCCTGATGTGGGTTAACCACTTCACATGTTACTGCTTTGGAGAGGCCCTTGTGATAACCCCCAGAAATCCTTCCAAATTTGCCACCCTCCCAGCAGAATTGCATGGACATAAATGACCTTGAGACAAGAGCAGTCAAGCACAAGGACCAAATTTAGGACTTCCACATAGACGCCCCTTCAGTGGATTTCTCTGTTCGAGAGAAGCATAGAAAATGGAATGTTTATATGACATGCTCTTAAAACCTTTCCTTGTTAAGCAGGGCAGCTCATGGGAGAAAACGTGTGTGCTGGAAAGTCCACTCACTTCTTAGCAACCGCTTGCATAAATTCATCTATCAGGTCATCGTACTGCTTCCCACGGACCCTCTTGTGCTTCAGACCAATGTAGAGCGGATCATTCAGGAGGGCCTAAAACAGAGCAAGAGAAACATAGAAACATAGAAACAGAGCGAGTCAGAAGGGGTCTCCCGGGCCATCTAGTCTGACCTCCGGCACCAGCTGGCTCTGCTCACGACATGCCCACCATGTGCATGACCAGCCTGTCCTTGAACACCTGCACCGATGGGGCCTCTACGACCTCATGTGGGAGCCCATTCCATACCCTTGGGGTCCTGACTGTCAGGAAGTGCTTTTTGGCATCTAAATGGAACCTGGGTTCCCTGAGCTTTGCTCCGTTGGAGCACGCCCTGCTTTCCTCTGCAGGGAGAACAGGTCTCTACCCACCTCTGTGTGACACCCCCTCACATACCTGTATGTCGCCAACAGATCCCCTCTGAGTCTCCTCTTCTCCAGGCTGAAGAGACCCAGTTCCCTCAGTCTCGCCTCATACGGCATCCCCTGCAAACCGGCCACCAACCCTGAGGCCCTACGCTGCACTGACTCTAACCTGGCTATATCCTTTCTGTAATGAGGGGCCCAAAACTGAGCACAATACTCCAGTTGCGGGCGCACCAGAGTCATATAGAGTGGTAGAAATACCTCTCTTGATCTAGAAAAGAAACTTTGTCTGCCTGCAGATTGCTTTTTGCCATGTGAGACAGAAAGGCATGTTCCTCAAGATACCATGATATCTGGCTTCTGAGTAATTACATACTCCATCTGCAGAACAAAGCAAACACAAAATGCCTTTTTCGGTGTAAGGTCCACCCTTTGTTCTGGGTTCCAGCATTACTGTGGGTTGTTCCAGCCCTACTGGCTCTCCCACTGTACCAGCCCTCCTTGCTGTGAGTGGTAAGAGCAGGAATATGACAACTGCTTCACTGGATCAGACCGAAATTTGATCACATGGGAGGGATTTCTAAGCATCACAGAGCAAGGTCTTGGAAAGTTGTTACACGTCATCTCACTTTCCAAGCTCTGCTGGCACACTGGTGAGCAACTTGGGACCTGCCACTCTCAGCATCCCTCTAGGGCTTATGTAGGCTAGAACATCTGGACAGCTACAAATTCCCCATGCTTATGTTAACGTCGTGGCAAAAAATGCCCAGATGTTTAACAAAAGGAGAAGAGCCACACTGGATGAGAGCAAAGGGCCATCTCGACCAGTGTTCAGTTTTCATGGTTCACAGTCAGTTGTCTTTTGAAGAACTAAAGTACTTCGTTCCCATCCCGCAGCTCCAAATTGCACAGTGGGCTCGTATTGCTGTAAGAAAAAGGACAGTCCATCCCAGCCATCCTGGGAAAGTCTAGTTTAACCAGTGACTCATAGGAAGTGTGTGCCGGATTAGCATGGTGGGAACCGGGGTCCTGCATCAAATGATGGAAACAGAAACAGGTCTGTTGACTGGTGGAATGAGCTACTGATTCTGGTGACTAAGTGGAAGGGAATCCTGTTTTCATCCTGTAAGGAATTGACAGCTGAATAAAGATAAGTGATGCGAGGACACCCCATCCAGGGAGCCATTGTCCCCAAGGCTACGTGGTTGGCTTGCAGACTGTCTCACCTAAATTTTCTGTTGTTTTGCAAAGACAAAACAACAGGTGCGTTCCTTCCCCAGGAAACATAAAAGGGGATTCCCTGCACTGTGACTCATTCTCCTCTCTGCTGTGCCATAATGGCGTCCAGAGTGGAACAGGGAAGATTCCACAGCAATCTTTTCTGCACAGGAAAAAATTAAGGAGGCACCAGCTGAAATAACAGCAAGCATCCAAAAGGGGGGCCCGCAATTAGGATGGTCCAATCCGTTGCTGCTGCGGTCACCTGAGGTGAATGAAAATTTTGTGTCGGTGCATGCATTATCCTGTAATCAGCAATGTAACCATGGTTGTTATCCTGGCATGCCATCTGGTCATCTCCAACTCATGGTGGCCCTGTGAACGTGGGCCCCCCAAGATGCCTTGCCCTTGACAGCCCTGCTTAGGTCTTGCCAACACAAGGCTGAGGCTCCCCGTATAGAAGAGATCCGTCTCATATTTGGTCTTCCTCTCCTGCTTCTGCCTGCAGCTTGTCCCAGCATTCTTGTCTTCCCCAGTGAGTCTTGCTTTCTCAGGATGTGACTGAAGTACGACAGCCTCTGCTTCATCATGTTTACTTCCAGGGAAAGCTCTGGCTTGATTTGATCTCGAAGCCACTTATTTGTCTTCCTGTCCATCCAGGGTATTCACAAAGCTCTCCTCGAGCACCATGTTTCCTGCCAGCTTTCACACATTCAGCGCTCAACCGCAATACAATTTTTGTCTAGTTTTCATGTAAAAACCTGCATCCTCCCCTTTACTATAAATACATCTCGGCCAGGCATAAGCAGCTCTGAAGCGTCTGGTGGGGGGTTGGGCAGGCCCCTGCTGCAGGCTGTATTCTGTGGAGAGCGCCCACAAAAAATGCACACAGTTTTGTTGCCTAAATGCACTGGCACAATAGTGGGGTATACATCACTATTGCATCACATTTATACCCCACTTTCTTCCTCTTGCAAGGAATCCAAGATGGCCTCTAAGGTGCTCCTGCTCTCCATCTTATCCTCATAGGAGCAACCAGGGCTTTTTTTGTCGTAGAACGCACCGGAACGGAGTTCCGGCACCTTTTTTCGACAGGTTTTCCAAGTTTTAAAAGTAACTTTTCAAAATTTGATGTTTGGTCCATGTGGATTTGAATCGCCCTGTCGAGCGTAGCAGGTCGGCGCCAAATCATTAAAACGGTGCATGCGGGCTGCTTGTGTGTCGAATCCGATGCACGCGCACTTCGCACTGGTTGTGATGGAGCTGCTCGGCTTGTGATTGGTCGTGTGGTCGCGCGCTGAGTGCTTCCTGTGGGCGGCAACCGTTATGATTCGTTACACAACGGATGTGCGTGGGTGTGTGTACAGTGATGGACTACGTGTGAAAGGTAAATAATTTCATGAGTTCTGGCACCTTTTTTCTTACAAAAAAAGCACTGGGAACAACCCTGTGAGGTAGGTTAGGCTGAGAGTCCGTGGCTGGCCATACGGCTCCTGGCAGAGTGGGGAGTGGAACCCAGATCTCCCCGGTCTCCCGATCAACATTTTAGCCACTACACCACTCTAGCTCCCTACACTCCATTCTAAGACTATACGTAGCTAATACAAATTTTGTGACTTTGACATCACACCATTTCCCTCTCAATCACCTTCCACCTCCTATTTTGCATAATGTCCAGTTCAGTAAAGAGCTCTGGAAAATTCAAAATCCTGATCAGTACTTTATAAAATGCTGGTCCTGATAAAAACTCCATCATGGATTTTGGAATATTTCTTCTAGACCAACATGGCTTGCTTTGCTTTTTATGCATGGCTTATAATACAGTCATTTTTCTTGTGTTTAAAGTGAAGGGAACATTCCTGGAATTAATTTCTTGTACTTGCTGATTTTTTCTGCAGAAATAGCTTTATACTCTGTTAATCTCCCTCCACATTTCTCTGTGCCTCTCCCCACACAGCACTTCACTGTACTGACACCCAGATAGCGCCTGCCCTTTCAGTGCATCACTGCAAGCTGGAAAAAGCCATTAAAAACTGGAATATACAGTCTCATCATGGGAACTTGCCTTTTAGCTGAGGTTAAACAACTAGAAATTAAAAGCTGATCGATGATAAAAGACCAGGACAGACTGCAAATACTGCACAGAAATAAATATGGTAAAACAGTGAGGTTTCCCTAGTATTATCAAACTTTGTAAAATGTAACTGAATATAAATAAAATGTAATTGAAATTTGCACTACAACAGTACAAAAATGCATTGCCATCTACTATGCAGAATTCTTGGTTCAAACTTTCGTAGGATCTTTTCTTTCAACTTGCTTCAACGTGCTGCATGGGAGAGCTGATTCTTTGGTACTTGCTGGCAGGATAATGACCTCCGTCTCCCATCAATGGAGCGGGATGGAGGCCAGCATTTTTGTGTTTGTGAAGTATTTATGTGCTCCGCCCTCCCATGGGCTCTCATTCAGGCAGTAGACGTGGATGGAAAGCGGCATTTCTCCCTCCAACAACTCTCTCCAAAAGAGTGAAGAACCTCAGATTCAAGATTGCCAAGAAAAATACTTATTTATAAAAGTCATTTATATATATTTATACATGTATTTATAACTGCCGAACTTCCTAGGTGGCTTACAATGCATAAAACTAAAACACATTAATAGCAATTAAAACACAAAAAATTAAGACATCTGTAAAAGCTATATAAAAGGGCCATTCAGGCTAAATGCATCACTGATTCATAGAATACCCTGATACAGGAGGTGAGGATTCTTTTCGTTGTTATACGCTATGTTTATATCCCACCTTCCCTGCTCTTGCAAGAAACCCAAGGTGGCTTGAAAGAGTCGCCTCCTCTCCGTTTCACCTTCTCAACAACCCTGTGAGGTTGCTCAGGCAAGAGAGCCAGTGACGGCAAGCTTCACGGCTGAGTGAGGACTGGAATCCAGATCTCCTAATTCCCTACCCTGAGCATCATGCAGAAAGGGTGGGGTACAAATGTGGTGAACAATTGATCTAAATGGGTTGCACTTAGATCAAGTAACTTTTCTCAGAATTCCAACTTGAATCTCATGCATGTTCCAATACTCAGTCTTTGTGTTGTCCCCATTCTAGATAATAACCTGGCAACTTCGAAAAGCTGCTTTACGTGCTTTTCCTCTCTTAAAAATTTCGCTGACTCAATGCGATCACCTCAATTAATCATGGCTCCAAGCAAGCAAGCAAAACACTTTTGCAAATGTCCCTTCTGGCATGGGACAACCCTAAACCTCTCTGCTTGGAGCCATTAGCCAAAAAACCACTAACAGATGCAATCCTTTTGCATTATTATGGAAAGCACTGGAGTTTGTGATCTGGCAAAGCCCTGAAATTAATTAGTCTCTAAGCATCCACAGAGGGATTTGCCACATGCTGAAATAGCATCTTCTTCAAACAGGCATGGAGATGCATTGCTTTCCTTGTGATTATCACAGGAAAAGGGAAATCGGTCTCTGCCTGGCCAGGACCTTTTCAACTCTTTTAACTGCCTGTGCTGAAAGATGGGGCTGACGCCTAAAGCTTCCACTGCCAGGAAAGCCACTTATGTTTCTGACCAGTGCCAAGAGCATGGCTTCCAGCCTTCCTCTGCTCTCACGGGACCTGCTGAACCCAGGGCTTCTGCAAGGCAGGAGTTCCTAGCCGTGTGGCCATTTGCATCTGTGAATGGAGGTACATTCAGGCAACCCTACACACCTCGTAAGTGTCTCAGGACACACCTGCTATTTGCCGAGGCCCTTCGGCTGCAAGCTCCGCCTTGGCAGTCAGTCCCATTAGAATTCCATGGGGTTTACCTCTGAGCAGGGACACACTTCGTGTTGCATATATGACAGAAGGACTGGACTTATTTCCCTTACCACTGCTTATCTCACCCACCTCCATTGCCAGCCACATGTCCGTACAGTTAACAGAATCAGCACCCCTGGTGTGGCTTGCAGTGTCCTGTGAACCCAGTAAGGGCGGCTTGTGGCTGTGGTTAGCCAGCCAGCCCAGACCCCACAACAGTGCAGGGATGCTCCATTCTCATGCGAACCCCAAGGTCTGTCTGTGATGCGCACATCGCATCAAGGTCCTTGATAGGCCTTGCTGGATTCTTCAGCACTCTTAACGTTGCACAAGTCTAGAGAGATTTCTAAGTTATAGGTCATTCTGTGATAAATGTCCTGGCTTGTACATCGCAACAACCCGGGTTTCTTTACAACTCTAGGTTACGGTGAGTCATCCAGAGTGCTAACGTAGCTGTTCAAGTACTGGATTGGGACTTGGCAGAACTAGGTTCTAGTTCCCACCTTGCCCATGAATTTCAGCGGGTGAATTTGGGCTAGCCGCTGCCTCTAAGCCTACCCCCCGCCCCCACAGGGTTGTTGTGAAGATATAATGAAGACCAGGAGAAGGATCATGTCAGCCACTCTGGGTTCTTTGCAAGAGAAAAATGTCAGGATATAAACTTAATAATAAATAAAATAAACGACTCAGGAACGTCCTGGAACTCATGCTTGTCTCTCTTAACTGGAACATAAGAAGAGAATGTCTGGATTATCTTAGTCCAGAAATTTCCCAACCCGGTCAGGCGGCTCCTTCTGGGAAGTCTGAAAGCATGGGATGAAGTCAAAAGCTCTTTCCCAGTATTGCTCCTTCATAGCTGAGATGCAGTGGCTCTGTTCAAGCCCAGTTTCCCCTGAGCTTGGATGTCACCCACAGGTATTTACACAACGGTCCCCTCCTCAGCGGGGGAGGCTGTGATCCAATTAGCAGAGGCAATGGCGGCAGCTTGCTATCTCAGTTCTGAACTTTTCAAAAACTCTGCAGTCCCAGCTTTTGGAGGTTTGATGAGCAGCTCCTGCAGATAATGGCCTTCTCAGTGCTGGCACCTGAACTGCGGCACTCTCCTTGAAGACAAGGTTCTGTGACATCATCCTCAGCCGCCTGATGAAGTCCACCCTGTTCTGTTCTCCCAGGATTTCAACAGCATTGGGAAGTGATTCCAGCTGGCTTGAACTGCTACCGAGTTACCTCTTATCAAGTTGTCTTTCTCTTTACAGCTTTTCTGGATGGCTTGATCTGTCACAGGCAAAATGATCCAGAGTCGCTGCTGTCCCGGCACTCATCCTGCTCTGCCTGTAGGGCCAACTGCTCCTGCGGCAGGAAGCTCACATGGCCTAAAGCCACGCTTGGAAAGCTAGTTTCCAGGCCTCTCAAGATGGGACAGGCCTTCTGTGAGCTCTGCGGACCTGTCCCATTCCAGAAACGAGGGTGTATTTCACGACCCGCTCCCTTCCCATTGTGCTCACATGTGTCCCACCACACTCTGGCCCCGTTGGATGTTGCCCCAGGTGTTTAATTGTGTTCTCTACTGATGTTCTTTCTAATTCCCCCCATCCTTGAGCTCAGAAATTAGGCTAACACTTCTCTGAGATACAGACACTAATCCAGCAGGTTGTTTTATAATTCCGCGACTAAGAGTTCCAAGCCACCGACAAACGGATTGTCGCATCAGCTTTTGGGACCCTGTCGCACTTCATCAGAGGCGCAAAGCATTGCATTAGCAGGCTGGTGTGCAGTGCCTCATGCATTTAATCATGTACCTGATGATCCAATAAATTTGTTAGTCTCGGGACGCCACAGGGTTGCTTGCTGTTTTTGCTGCAATACCCGTAAACGGGCCTGCAGCAAGATATGGAATGGACGCCACCCACCAGGCTGAGGCTCCAGCAGTAGAAAAAGAAACCAGGCGGTCTCACCTCATTGTCTGTGCCGACATCTAGAAGGACAGGGAGGCACTGCTGCGGGTGCACGCCACCACAGGCGGTGTAGAGAGCCAGCTTCCCGACCGGGATCCCCATGCCGTAGCTGCCCAGATCCCCAAGACCGAGAATCCTCTCCCCATCTGTCACCACGATGGCCTGCAAAGGAAGAAAGGGAGGCCGGGGTTTTGCTTTTCGTATGGCTCTGCGAGAACCTTTATGAAACAGAGTGAAGGCCAACCTTGTATCTGTAGAGAAATGGGGCCATTTTGGAAGATCATTCAGCATTTTCAAAAGCAAACATGCTTTCCAACAAAAATGATCCAGGGTTTGGAAACGCTGCCCTGTGAGGAGAGACTGAGAGAACTGGGCTTGTTCAGCCTTGAGAAGAGAAGACTGAGGGGGACATGATGTCCCTCTAGAAGTACCTCAAAGGCTGTCACAAAGAGGAAGGTCAAGAGCTCTTCTTGCTGATGCCAGAGTGCAGGACACGGAATAATCGGTTCAAGTTGCGACAACCCAGATTCAGGCTGGACATCAGGAAAAGTTTCCTCAGCTGCCTAGAGAGGCGGTGGGCTCTCCCACACTAGAGACATTCAAGGAGAAACTGGACAGCCACCTGAGTGGGATGGTGTAATGTGGGGTCCTGCAACAGCAGGGGGTTGGACCTGATGGCCTTCATGGCCCCTTCCAACTCTACTGTTCTGTGATTCTATGATCCATTCTTGAGGATCTGGTTCAGGAAGACTGTGAATTTGTAGCTGGTCCTTTTTCCAAGTGGATCAGGGTTACACGTGGTACGGCTGACGGGGCAGTTTGAATGGGTAGGTGAACTGGACAGTCAGGAAGTTGATGGACTTGTCATTTTTTCCAGGAGGCAGACTGGAAGGGGAAATCATGACTCCTGATTTGTCCACTCATGCTATATGCTTGGATAAATAGGTTGGAAAGGTACAAACCAGGTTTGAAAGGTTTAAGATTGTTTCAAAAGCCTACTTTATCAGCAGCAGGAATGGTACTAAAGAATGAAGTTGTATATTTTATGGGAAGTCATGTCTTTTTCATGCCAGCTTGGAGTGCCTTTAAAACTATTGTTTAACTCTAGACTGACATGAGGTTGTTTTTTTAAAAATTGTAAATAAGGAAATAGGTGGATAGGAAATAAGTGAAACAGGAGAATAGCACACGGGAGATGAACTTTCAAAGCCGAGATGCCATTTCGCATGCCCTTTGGGGCAGAAAAGAACAAGAAGCAATTGTGATTTCAGTGGAGCAATTTTATTTGCTTATGTTCATACATCTGGCTGGCAGCTTTGGAAGGGAGTCGCTGCAGCCTTTGTCATCTACAGGAAGGGCAAAATGCAGTTTAAAAGAACTGTAATCCTGTTTTTCTTTTTAAGTCGCGTAATTTAGTTCTTATCCTTCAGCTACTGGGACAAGTTCCAATTATAATTTGGTACCCGGTATAGCCCTCGGCAGAGAATGCAACTCTGAAACCTAGTTAACAAAAGGAGGATTGTCTTTTTGCGAAGTCCCTTTTCTTTTACTGTGGTAGTAAGCAGCTTGTAGTTCTTGTTACACTTAATCAGGAGTGATGTCCCAAACTTAAATTATGGGCACAAAACCTGATTCCTGCTAGTTTAGACTTAATCTACCAAGATAGTCTCGTGACGTGGGTGCAGGCCCTGTGGTGGCCCATAGGAGGCGCCAAAGAGCACGACTGGTCTATGCCAACCATTCCCAACGTGAGGTACTCAAAATGCAACCACATGATAGGAAGAAAGCATGGCCCATCCAGAGGCCACCAGCCTGGGGGAAATTATTTTGTGTCCTGCAAATTTCCGTGTGTGTGTGTGTGTGGGGGGTCTTTCTGCCTTGAAACACCCTTATCCAACCACTGGCCTCCACCCTGTCCTCTCCGTATGGCAGTTCCTCTCTAGCTGTTGCAAGCCTCCGCTCTGCACTGTCACACTTACTCCAAGGTAGCATGTTTATCTGTCCAGCCAGTGCTGTCTTTTCTGATTTGCACTGGCTCTCCAGTGCCTCCAGTAGATGTGCTGTTGTTTAGTCGCTACGTCGTGCCTGACCCTTCACGACCCCATGGACAACATTCCTCCAACCTCTCCTGTCCTCCACCATCCCTTGGAGTCCACCCAAGCCTACACCCAGCACCCCAGTGACCCCATCCAGCCAGCTCAACCTCTGCCATCCCCTTCTCCTTTTGCCGTCAATCCTTCCCAGCATTGGGTCTTCTCCAGGGAGTCCTTCCTGCTCATTAGGTGGCCAAAGTATCTGAGTTTCATCTTCAGTATCAGACCTTCTAAAGAACTGTCAGGGTTGATTTCCTTTAGATGCAGGGGTGTCTAAACGAGCAAAATTCAAGCCTGATGACCTTCCCCTTTTTCAGTTTCAGTATCCCTTGGATCATTTTCCTACATTGTCATGGTAGGAACTTTCCCTCTTATTCTTTGCATAAAGCCACCTATGCATAGCTGAAAAGGTCTTCATCCCTAACATGGAGCTGGATTTACTTACCTATCAAGTGGTATCACTGGAGTGAGCTTCTCCACTGAAGATGGAGAAACTCCTAAGTGCTGATGGAATTTGTCAGCACTTGCCAGACCTCACCTGCAGTACTGTGCTCAGTTCTGGGCACCCAGGCCTTTGAAAGAAGCAGAAAAACTAGAAAGGGTTCAGAGGGGGGCAACAAAGATGATCCATGGCCTGGAGACTAAGTCCTATGATGAGCAGTTGAGAGAGCTTGGCATGTTCAGCATCAAGAAGGGAAGAGTATGAGGGGATATCATAGCACTCCACAAGCAGGTCAAAGGGTGTTACGAAGAGGAAGGAAAAGACCTCTTCTCACTCATCTCTGAGCACAGGACATGGAACAATGTGCTTAAACTGCAGCACACCAGATGCAGTCTAGACACCAGGAAAACATTCCTGACAGTCAGAGAAATACAACAGTGGGACCAGTTGCCAAGAGAGGTCCTTGGCTCCCCCAAACTAGAGACATTCAAGGCAAAACTGGGCAGCCCTCTGAGTGGGATGGTGTAACTTGGTGTCCTGCAACAGCAGGGATTGGACTTAATGGTCTTCTCAGCCCCTTCTGGCTGTACTATTTGTTGAATTTATGAATACTATTCTATGAATAAGGGCCAGAGATATATATGAGGAAAAAGGGACAGGGGGTATGTTGTATCTGACATTAAAGAAGGTTGGGATAACTCAGTGTACAGTACTTTAACCTGTTCTATATTTTGTATATTGGAATTTTATGCTTATTTTATTTTATTTAAATTGTTATTGTCATCCATTTTTACTATTGTACTTATGCTTATGAATTGTAGCAAGCTATCCAGAGAACTTTGGCTCTTGGTGATGAATATATGATGATCACATTAACAACAGCAACAATGTTGATGAAAGATTGCTTGTTTTGGCAGCAGACTGTATAATTTGTTCTTTCTCTTCCTCTCTGAGAAACATAAAGATTTAGACATATACACTCCTTTCCTAACTTGCACACATTTCAAGGAGTTAAACAAAAGCACAAGAATTAGGAGATTACTGACAATTTTGACCAATTTATCTGCTTTAGGGAGTGGGAGAAAAGCCGTGTTTACTTAGGAACAGAATAATAGTCTTCAAGAGGATCCCCCCTCCCCCAGTTCAGAAGGAATTTATTTCAAAATATTCCTAACATATTTCAGATGATTAGAGGGGGAATCATGGGAGGAAGGTTTAAATTTATGCCATATGGCTTGCATTCTTTCGTCGTTGTTGTGGAAGGCAAATAGGCGTTGCTCTTCAGTCTGAAGCAAGGAATTTGGCTATTTCCTCTTTTTCCAGGTCGGTCCGTCTTTTTTAATTGATGAGGTAAATTATGTAACCACTTATCTATGGATAATCATTTGTGGCGTGGGTGGAGGAAAGCTATTGTCTCTGTTCAAAAACGAGAGCGTGCGCGACTGTGTACATTTGTGGTTTGGATGGGCTGGCTGACCTTGGGCGCATCTGCATCGCATCGGCCTTATTAAACAGCTGCAGATCCAGCGAGGTGCTTTGCCCACTGGAAGTTCCTGATTGCAACTAATGAGGAGGACTGGGGTTTAGGGGATGCTCCTGGGGCAAACATCCTTTCCAAATGACAAGCTGGGCTCCAAATGAGCTTACACAGGCGCCCTGTGGAGCAGTGAAACCTTGATTAAAGGAGAAGAGGATGCATTCACTTTGCAGAACATGTGTGTGTTCCACTTGCTTTTGGAATCCTCTCCCACCAGGTGTTCTCCTTGCAAATTTGAACCAAGTGTTGCTCAGAGAAAAAAATAAGGATGATGGCGTGATCGACTGAATCAAGGCTTTTGTTCTAATGAACGATTGGTCAATTAGCCAGGTAATTAACTAGGTTTAAATAAATGTGATTGCTACCAAAAACTTCAATTCAGGTTTCCTTTTGACATACTGTGATAATTTACTATCTCATGAGCCTAGAAACAAAGAGTAATTATAGTGTTATCCATTACCTTACTATGGTTACATCCTGGAAGCAGGAAAAAATAGACTCCAAAAATATCTCAACCAGCAAAAACACCCGATAAAATGCCCCCCAAGCAATGAAGTACAGTTGATTAATCTACAGTCCAAAGTGCGCAATCCCAGCTTAAGCAGTTGCCTTTCTTCTCACCCATCCTACGTTTAGCCTCTATCCACTGTATGACGATGGGAACATGTCGCCCTGTTTTATAGAAATTAGACACCCAGCACTGTTCTAAAATTGATGCTTGCAGGGTTTGCATTGCTATTTTTGCTGGATCAGCAGGAATCGGAAGCACAGAGCTTGGGACTCTTGGCACTAAAGTCCCTTGCGAGTCTTCCGGGGTGCCCCTGGATGTCTGGAGTCCGGCTTGGATGCGACATCAACAGAGCCGCCTCTTGGAATTGGGCACCCAGAGACAGCACAGTCCATGGGCAACCTGAGTCAGCACCTCCCCACAGTTGTGGTGCAGTTTCAAACACAGCATCACAGATTTCTGGGGGAGATGAGGGGGTGCCCAGGAGTGGTTGGAACCTTCTTTGACTGTGTGTGGGGTGACTTTCTGCATTGAATGCCACCACGCAGTTCTCCTTTCCAAGAGCCTTTGGCGCAGTTTTTGTAAGATACCATCGCTGGGCTCTAGCCAGCAGCATGAGAACAAGGCTCTGCTCACCTGATCTGTTCCCCTCCTTTCTTTCCAAGTTTGTGCTGCTTGGTAACTGCTTTCCTGGCTTGCGGTAAACCACAGTTTCCCAGTTCAAGTGTAACTGTAAACTATGGGTTGTGGAAAACCAGGAATTAACTAACGGAACAGAGTGCAGTGGGAACAGGGAGTCGATGAGGCTGCCACACAGTCATGTAATACCAAACTATGATTTGTCACTGGGGTGATATTATTCACTGGTTTGGTTCACATGAACTGCTAAACTATAACATTGTGTTACATGTAGACATATGAACATGTGCATTTCCCTCCCCTCTCCTTCTCCGGACAGCTGAAGGCGGCGGTGGGAAGCTTTTGTTACCATTTTCCAATAGCCACAGTTTCTCATTATGGCCGGTCCAGAAACTGTGGTTAGTGTTAACTAGTTTATAAGCAGGGGAGTCTGGGCATTTCTATGTCAGCTGTATGAAAAAGGCCCCAGGTTCAATCTCTGGCATTGCTAAATAGGACAGGGAAAGACAATACTCTGGCTGGGTTCAGACAACACAATAACCGACACTCAGCACCTGAGTATGGCTTGACTAGGTTCTTCTTGATCTGTGGGTTACTATCTTTGAACCGAACCAAGATAACAAACTCTGGTAAATTATTCAGAGTTCACAGTCCAAAGCGAACCAGCAATTCCTTTTCAATTACCCAGGTAGAGTTTGCTAGCGGCCCTGGATTCAGACATGTTTACCCAGATTTCAGTGACTGCCACACTCAACCTATGCTCCACCCTTGAATGTGGGAAACCACATCGCCCGAGACAGTGTGGAATATATTGAGTCAGATAACATTCAGTATGCGGCATCTTTTTATGTTCTGCTTCTGAACCCCGGATGTGTACCATCAAGTGCGATGGGGATTTACTCTTTGGATTTCTAACCAGGTTTGCCTCAGTTTATTTTTGAACTGGGTTTTGGTCCCAGGACAGAAGTCCTGGGTCAGATGGTAACAGTAAAGGAATCAGGAATTTAGCAAGCATGGGACTCCAGAAAACAGCAGGCCTCACACTTTGATCTTAAACTTTCATGAAACCAAGGCTAATTCAATTGGATATGCACAATTCTACCCATGGAAACTGTTGTTTTAGGAACACCAGACCCCAGATTAACCACATGATTGCTCTTAGCTTGAGTTGCTTAGCTTCCTAAATGCTCTTGTTGTTCAATCGTGCAGACTTATAATTTGCAAATATTGAGAGGAGTAATTTCTTGCAAAGCAATGCAGCGAACGAGCACGGCCAGAAAGCTGGTGAACTTGGCAGGAGTGAAGTCTGGCTACCAATGAATACAATGTACAGCTAGTATTACAGATGTGCTTAATTTCTAGCATGAAAAGGACAAGGGAACAATTTTGTCTGGATGGTAATACTATGTGAGGCAGAAAGGCTTCCTGTTACTCATTGATGAAGGTGGTGGGCTCTCCCACACTAGAGCCATTCGAGGAGAAACTGGACGGCCATTCGAGTGGGATGGTGTAACTTGGTGTCCTGCAACAGCAGGGGGTTGGACCTGATGGCCTTCATGGCCCCTTCCAACTCTACTATGCTATGAAAGGCAAACTGCACAAGCTCAGAGGCAGTTTCTTGATTGTCGTTCTGTGATGGCTAATCATTGTGATGGATGAAAAGAGAAGGGAAGAGGCTCATGTATTGAAGGAATTCCCGCAAGGATGACATTGTTTTGATACCCGTCATGGCTCTCAGTATCAATGAGTTAGATTGTCGTGTGGCTGCTAGAATGTCAGACTGGGAACCCAGGAGGTCCAGGTTCTAGTCCCCATTTGACCATGAAAAGGGTGACTTTGGGCCAGTCTCTCCCTTTCAGACTAACCCACCTCACAGGGTTGTTGTAGTGGGGATAAAATAGAGCTATGCAAGCCACCTTGGGTTCCTCACAAGGGAAAAAAGGTAGGATATACATGCAATGCAATAAGAAGCGCATCTCAATATAGCCGGACCTTGAGCTCCGAGTCTACCTGCGTATTTGCTCCAGGTGCCCTTCCTTGGTCACATCAACATGTGACACATGGATGGCCAGGTGCTATGAGGCTCGGTACACCTGTTCATACAGGATTCTTTTGCAGCAGAAACAATTTACGGTACATCTTACCTTTATGTTTTCTTCGGGCCACGAGTTCAGCATCGTTGCAATGTGTCCTTTGTCATGAATGGTAATGAACAGCCCACTGAAGGGGGAAAAACATATCAACCACAGTGAGTTTCACGAGTGTGAAAGAAGGGAAATTAGTCTGTAGTTGCAATTCTGTTTGCAGGGTGAGGATGAGGGCAGGTTAAGGGCAGAGAAATGATATCTTGGTGAGCAATCTGAGATGGGAAGCACCAATCAGAGCTTGTGAACCTATAGCAGAAAGCATAAACAACGGACATTCATACATTACCTCCCCGTGTGAGCAGTGAATGGACTGTGTCTTTTAGTCATGACCCAAACACATCCATCATTAATTATAGGACATCTTCTGTCTAAACAGGCCTGGGATTCCACCGTCCATGGCTCTGCATGTTCATGGCAGGGTCTGGAAAGGGCAAACTGCAGCCAGGGAGCAAGAGACCCCTAGTAAAGATGGTTGAAGATAATTGGGGCTGCCCTTGAAGACGGTCCGGCTACTTTAGTTGGTTCAGAACAGGGTTGCCACGTTGTTAACAGAGACCGGCAAACATGCACACTTAACACTGGTCCTCTGGCTACCAATTGCCATCCGGGCCCAAGTTAAGGTGCTGGTGATGACCTTTAAAGCCCTAAATGGCTTAGGACCTGAAAGAAGTATCCCATTACCTATGTGCCTGCCCACCCCTTAAGATCTGGGGTGGACATCCTTCTTTGGGAGCATCCATTGAAGGAGATTAGGAGGGTGGCTACCCAGAGAAGGGCCTTCTCTGTGGTGGCACCCCGGTTATGGAATACGCTTCCCAGAGAGGTTCACCTGGCACTGACACTTTTTTCTTTTCAGTGCCAGGCCAAAACCTTTAAATTTTTCTGTTATTTTAAGTCTTGACTATGATTTTAATTGTGAGGTTTCACTGTATAAGAAATTATTAGGATGCTGTGTTCTATTCTGCTTTTTTGGAAGACCGTCCTGAGACCTTGGTAGTGGATGGGATATAAAAGTTTTAAATAAATAAATAGTGCACGATTGATAGGTAGCCAAAGGCTAAGAAGCTCCACAGAGGTGCAGAGCATGTCTCCCAGGCGCACACGTTGGCCTGCAGGCTGTTATGAACCAAGGGCTATCCTCACCGTGTAAAGCTGACTCTACCTGCTCGTTGTAGTTTTTAAAAAACTAGGGTTTTTTTTTGTTCAATGGTACATGCCTGGGCAAAAGCATCACATCACTTAGAAAAGCCTGACAGTCCTCACATATAAAGCCTTTTCAGAATTCACTTCCCATCTACTTTTAAAAAAATAAGTACTCGGTGTAAAAACCAGTTTTTAAAATGTAAGCTTCACTGTCCGTTTGTCAGAGGCACCTTCTGGTCAATCAGAGCAAATCAGTTTTGCTCATGGAGTAACAGCACAAGCCCATGCATGCTTACTCAGATGAAAATCCCAAGGGGGCTTCCTTTCATCTCTGTGCGCACAGGTTTCCAACTCAGACCTTGCAGACGTTTGCGTTCTCTTCCTGTCCTTAAAAAAGTGCTGTTTCCTGCAGCTCACCTGGGATACCTTTTCCAGCAGGACGGCAGTGAATGCATTTGGGCAAGGAGGCTGGTGACTCTCATGCCAGCAGAGTTCTTCATTCGTGGCCACTTCTGAGCATTATAGGAGCTATCCGAGCTGTTGAACTCCATCCCCCACATAGGTTCACCAGCATGGAGCATCAGAGGTAGCTCCTATAAAGCTCAGAATAAAAGCTGCAATGGCTAAGGAATCCCACTGACGTATATGGCAGCTGCTATCCCTGCATTTTGTACATGAGTACATAAAATGGAGCTCACTTCTGAGCATACACACAGATCCCCAGGAGTCCAGTCATGCAGATGTTCAATAGGCTGACTGGTGTGTGTACTCTGGTTTTATATTAGATTGTCTATTTTAATAAACTAGTTAATATATGTCAGGGATGTGGGTGCGAAGGAAGGGGAATTATGCTTTGCACAGGGAAAATCAGATACACTTGCATTTATGGACTGGGTGTGCCAGCCAAATGTGATTGCAGCTTTAGAATATCCACCATCAAATTAAAAAAGACAGCAGAGAGGGAAAACAATTCCAGCTTGGAAGCATCTGCTGACCAGGTGCAGCACCTGATCTGGAAAGAAGCAAAGCAAAGCAAGGCCAGGTGTGTTCCTGAAGCTTCAAAATGCAAGTTCTCTCTCCACTTGGCAGTGCATTTTGGTTCTTTTCCAAAACTTGTAGTGGCGCACCGAACCAGAGACACTGTTGCTTTGATTTGACATTCACACCTTTACAAGCTCTTGTCTGCAGCCATGAGGGCAAGAATTATGAGGATTTAAACAAACCAAGAGAAGATTCCTGGGGATTTTCAGCTGCAGCAGATATGTCTGCCAATGCTTGGATGATATGTTTGTGTACTTATGGAATCATACTGACATGTATGCATGAAGTGGGTTAGGAAGCTGGGTCTGTCTCTCACATAGCCTCTGATAGCTAAAAGATATGGAACAAATGGTGACTGCTGAGCTTCTGCAGAGAGTCAGGGAAGCTGGATTTGTGTGGTCCTCTTGTCTGACAAACCAGTCATGGATATGAACAGATGGATCAGAATCAATCCACTAATTACATTGAAGCTGCATATTTATAAAAATGTAAATTCTAGTCATACACAAATCAAAGCAGCAGCAGAACCACAAGAGGCGTTTTACCCCTCTCCCACACTTTCACCCCAACAAAAATGCCCCCCCCAAGCTTTGGGGTGGGGAGGTTTACATCAGCACTGTGGTGGTGGGGAGGAAGGCAGAATATCCCTCCCAACTCCCTGCAGGTTTGCTACTGCTCCCCCCCCCCCCCCCCCCCGCTGTTACGCAGATTTTAAAAGATATACACCTTAATTGCATTCTTGTAAGCCGTGTCATGTCTAGTTCGGCCCTTGCAGATGCAATCCTGGGCATGTTTAGGCAGAAAAAAGCCCCACAGCCTCCCCACACACCACAGGTGGGAATCGTTGGGCTTCCTCCCCCTGTCAATGCAGGCAGAGCATTGCACCCGAACCCACAGAAAAATCTTGCAGAGCTTTGCAAAAGAGAACAAATAAATAAAAAGCTCTGGTTGTACCTATAGTACTGTGTTTTACCACTGCCATCCTTCTAGTTAAATCTGCAGAGCCCCCCCTCCTCTGCACAACATGATTATCTGATTTAATGATTTTTCCATTCAGCAATATAGAAAACATAACCTTGGATAAGGGTTTCATGTTTGGTTTCCAGAAATGAAACCCAAACTTGTGTGCAATGAGGCTTGGGGCTCCAGAGAGCCTTTTCAAGTGGTCACTCCCACCCTCCGTGATGTTTGCAGATAGTTTTTTGGTAATTGCAAATGCCTTGGATTCCAAAATTCACAAACCAAACATTCACAGTTGTTTAGTTCTTTAGGGAAAGCTTTAAGCTAACAAGCACATCGTCAGACAAAGAACACGGCTCTCTGTGCTCTGCTGGAGTCTGCACTTACTTTCTCTAAACACAAAGCATAGTTAACCATCTGAAAGGCTGAAATAGCTTCAGTGACTCATCACTGCCTTTATACACTTATCACAGGGTCATGCAAAGATTCAGTTAATCATTGCAGATTTTTTTTTAAAGCCAAGATCTTTTCTTTCTTTTTGCAGAGACATTTCTATGTTAACCCCCCCCCCCCCATTTTGCCTGGAATAAAAAGGGATGGAAGATGTGGTTTTATACTGAAACATTCAATTTAACTTTGCAACGTTGTTGTTATAGGGTGAGATTTCTCTTGAAATAATTCATATGTGAAATGAAGAATGGAGTTGAGGAGGAGGAGGAGGAGGAGGAGGGAATTACCTTTCCTCGCCAAGTAAATCATTCTGAATTGTCAGAAAAGACCTTAGAAAGAAAGCCAGATGATGCTGTTTCCAAGGCATCATTCTAAAATTTTGCTTCAACAACACTGACTTAAACCTCAAGGATCCCAAAGGGTGGCCAGAAGTCATAAGGACCGATGTTACGAAACATCTGCTGCTGCTGCCATGCAGGAGCACGTCCACGGCTCCTTCTGCTCACCACCACCCTTGCATGGACAGGAGCAAAGTGGGGGACCAGAGAACAAGCAGACGGCAGGGGCAGAAAGCAGCACCCTTGTCCACGGGCCCCCTCTGCAGGTGCCCAACCACGTCTGTCCTTGCTGCTGGTCTTGGCTGGAGCATCCTCAGTGGATGCTTGAAGGCTTCCAGAAGCCCCACAGGTGATTAAGAAGAATGCCATTGTCCTTAAGCCACATGGCAGGCTGTCCCCAGGCAGATGAGAACACCTGGAAGCTGGGTGAGAGGCACAGCCGTCGGAAGCAGCAGACTCTTCCCCCAGCCCTCAGCAGCCACCAACTTAAACACATTGGAATAACATTTTTCAAAGGATCCTTCTTGACTCCCAGTGCATTTTGAACTGCGGAGACGGTGGAGAGACCACTCAGTTCTAGGTTCTGGGAGGTCTTTCAGCAAGAGGCCTTCAATGGCCCTCCGCCCTGGAGTGGGCCAGCCTCCTCTGCCAGCCTCCCGGAAGGAGCGGACAAGGTGTGCAGAAGTCTCTTCTCCTTCTCCTCTGACTTGCTTGGAAGCAGTGGGTGACGAGATGGCCAGGAGATGCCAGGGCCTGCATTCCACTGGGCCCCCTAGCAGGCCATGGTTCTTGAGTGGGGCTCCATGCTGCGGTCTTCTGGGAAGGACCACAGCGCAGTAGCAGAGCCCAGTTCTCCACGCGGAATAGCCCCACTTCAATCCCCAGCATCTCTAGGTAGGGCAGGAAAATCTTAGCTCTGAAACCCTGAACAGCCACTGCTAGTTGACAGTATTGGGCTATTGAGACAGTATTGGGTCTCAGTACTGGAAACCCCTCCTTCCTCTGCTCTATCACAAGAGTTGGAAAGAACTTTTTCTCCCTCCTCAAAGGGATTCCCTCCGTGCAAGATTCAGAGAGCTCAGGAATGTCTTGTGTGGTTCTCCCTGCTAATGATAGGATTCGATAAATGCCTCTGTGCACA